ATGCAGGTCTTTGGGAAACCATGGTAGTAAGTCTCAGTCGAGATGTGGGATGGAGAAAGGGCATGTGAAGAAATACTTCTAGGAGAAAGTGTCATGGAAACTGATACCAGAAGGGTGTGTGGTGCTATGCAGGTCAAGAAGGGGGAGCAGGGGACAGGTCTATAGAGGAACTACATGTATAAAGGTTCAGAGGCAAGATAGCATAGTGTATTTGGAAACAACTGGAAGAAGTTTCTTATGGCAAATTTTTACACATTCTTCAAGTTTCCATTCAAACATGTCCCCTCTTCTTATCCCAGGGAAACTTACATCCTCTCTTATTCCTTGAAGCCTTATAGTGTCTTTTCTTTTTCTTTTTTTTTTTTTTTAATCCTCACCTGAGGACATTTTTCAACATTTTGTTGAGATAGAGTGGGAGGAAGAGAGAGAGAGAGAAACATCGATGTGAAAGGGACACATCGAGTGGCTGCCACCCGAAAGACCAACCAGGGCCAGGGACAAACTGCAACCGAGGTACATGCCTTTAGCGGAAACTGAACCCGGGTCTCTCAGGACCGCAGGCCGACTCTCTAACCGCTGAGCCAAACCGTCCAGGGCTATAATGTCTTTTCTTAGAGGATTCATTACATTATATTGTCATTTGTCTGGATTGTAATATTATATGTGTATTTGTTTGTTTTCCCAAAGACTGTAAGTTCTTTGAAGGCAGGGAACTATGTCTGATTTTGCTTTGTGACAGCAACTAATAATTAGTGGCATTTAATAAATATTGTTGAATGACTGAATTAATTAAAACTATTTACCTTTATACTCCACTAAATTATGAGTTGGTCAGAGGCAGGGATCCTATCTAATTCATCTGTAAGAAATCTCTTAGTTTTTGAATATAGTGGAGAGATAGGCTTTCAGACACAAAGGGCAAATGTCAGCTGATCCATTTACTAGCTATGTGCTTAAACCTTCCTTGCTTTTAGTTTCTCAATGGTCAAGTGAAGCAATAGTTCCATCCTCACAGGGTTTCTGTGAGGGTTGAAATCTAATGAACAAAATAAACTGATGAACAAAATTAGATCCAGTGTCATGGAAGTATGGAACATACATGGATGAATCTTATAGGGAAGGGGTCGGGGAAGAGATTAACCAAAGAATTTATATGCATATATGCATAAACCATGAACACAGACAATAGTGTAATGATGGCCTGGGGTGGGGGGTGGGGGCAGGAGCGGGATGGAAGGGGTCAATAGGGGAAAATTGGGAAGACATCTGTAAAACTTTCAACAATAAAGATAAATTTAAAAAAAGAAAAAATGTATATAAAGGGTCTAGCACATTGCCTAGCATATTGTAAATGCTTACTGAATGAATGAATTGGCAGATAGGTTGTATAGCAGTGGCTGAAGAGAAGGTACAGGAGAAGAAAAACAAAAAACAGACAATCTCCTATCACCAGATGAAAGAGAATTTTTCTCCCTAATCATTGGAAAAGACTGAAGAGCTGTCTGTCCCTTCTACCAAATTCCACTTTAGAACCCATAAACTCAGTGCTGTATGCTCAGTCTACCCTAGACGTTCCCACTTTCCCCATCCTTTTGTTCACTCCCTTGTACCACTTGTAAGTACCAGTCCATCTCCTCCACAGACTGGAAGTCCTTGGAGAGGAAGGATCAGGATTAATTAATACAATTGGCTTCTCGGTACCTCCTACAATGGTCAAGTAGGGAGTGGTTCTCATTAATCTCATGTGAAGTAGAAATATAAAGAACAATAAGTCTGAATAATACATTCAGAGTAATTACAGACTCTAATTTAACTAAAAAATATCCCATTAAAAATTTTTTTCTTTCCTGGTAGCTATTTTCTATTTGGGGCCCGTGACTTGATTTATTGAAAGACCTTAAAGTGCTGTCGATCTGAGCCAAAGAAGGTTTAGAAAGTTTCTTGGCAGGAACTCAATTCTTTCTATTATGTCACTTTCTTTAAACAAAAAAAGGATTTTTAAAAATCTTTTAAAATGGATTCTCTGTAAACACTCAAAGAAAGAATGTCTGTCCTGTGGCTGGGCTGTGATTGACTCCAAGAATAAAGTAGAGGTCTCTTGAATGTAAAGACATGAAATGCCTGAACCTTCCTTCCTATATATTTAGTGTAATTTGCAATAATTTTCTTCTCCCCCACTCCCTGATTGAGAGACAGCTCACTTCCTTATTAGAAGAAAACCAGATCACTAACCTGGGAACTTAAGTCTTGGAAAGAGTTTATTTTACCAGAGCATGCTTCCAGAGGGAGCAGAAAGCAGGAAGCCTGTGTTTTCTCTCTGCTTCAGTCCACCTGGTACCTGGACTTATCACCATGGTTGTGATTGGCTTCAGCTTTTCCCCTCCCTCTTGGGATACTCTGCAGTCTTTGAAATATTTGGGCAGATGTTTCCTGTGGAAAATATTCCACAGGGCTGCCCTCTTGTTATATTGGTTTCTGCTAGAAGTATCAAAGGTTTGAAGCTGGGCCCCAATTTGAGATACTAGGAGGTATTATTGTTGAGGGATCTGTTGTGATATTAGAAAATTTCTCCTTAGAAATTTCTTTGCATTGTCAACAATTAAAACCTCTTCTTTTCTTCAGCGGCAAGATTTTATTTAATTTAATTTATTTTTTTATCCTCATCCGAGGACATTTTTTCCATTTTTTTTGTTCAGATAGAGTGGGAGGGAGAGAGAGGAAGAGAGAGAGAGAGAGAAACATCGATGTGAAAGGGACACATTGAGTGGCTGCCACCCGCACGACCAACCAGGGCCGGGGACAAACTGCAACCGAGGTACATGCCCTTAGTGGAACCGAACCTGGGTCTCTCAGGACCGCAGGCCGATGCTCTAACCGCTGAGCCGAACTGGCCAGGGCAGCGGCAAGATTTTAAATTGGTCAAACTCCTGGCCCTACCACTTATTAACTGTATAGGTTTGGACAAGTTGCCTATTATCTCTGAAACTCAGTTTCCTTTTCTGAAAAAGAATTTGTGTGGTTTTTTTTATCCTCACCTGAGGACATTTTCCCATATTTTGTTCAGATAGAGTGAGAGGGAGAGAGAGAGAAACATCGACGTGAAAGGGACACATTGAGTGGCTGCCACCTGCACAACCCAACCAGGGCCGTGGACAAACTACAACCGAGGTATGTGCCCTTAGCGGGAACCTAACCAGGGTCTCTGGACCGCAGGCCGATGCTCTAACCACTTAGCAACCAGCCAGGGTGAGAATTTGTGTTTTTAAAAATAATAGTTCCCACCTCCAAGGGCCCTTATGAGGTTGAGAGAAAAGGTATGTGAAAATCCTGGCACATAGTAATCACTAATAAGTTATAACTACTCTAGAACTGAAGGCTCAGTTTCTGAGCTAACCCTGACCAACGTAGGGTCAGGCTGCCTCACTTCTAGTAGCAGAAGAACTGAGAATTAGACCTAGTTTTGGATAGGCCAGATGTGAACCCTGAGTCCATCTGTATGTTGCAATTCTCTCACTTAATATACCTGTCCCATGGTTGTCAGCCTGCTAATCCTAACCCAGGTAGTGCATGCAGGATGAATCCTGCCCCTTATTTTAGTCACTGGCTGGTATACAGTTGTGAATAGAATGATAACTCAGATCCACAATGTTCCGCCTATCAGGCTCTTATTAGTATCACTTGCTGCCTAGACTTTGGTTGCCACATTCACCTGCTAAATTGGAGCTTCTTGCCACCCATACCACCTATCCAGAGCATATCTGAGCTCTCACACTCAGAACATTGTGCATTGGCCCAAGAAGATCTTCAGTCTTCTCCTTACTAGATGTCTGCTTCTCTCTTCCCCTAGCCCAAGGGGTGGGGGAGGAAAAGAAAAGGATTAACATTTATTAGATGCTAGGCAGCTTTATATATCCATTCTTAATTTAATCCTACCAACTACATTAGATAGGTTTTATTTTCATTTTGATTCTAAAGGTGAGAAAACTAAGGCTCAGAAAGGTTAAGTAATTTGCTCAGAATTTCATATCAAGCAAGTGACGGGGTAAGATTTTGAACCTAGACCTCTGCCTCCAGAGTCCAGCTTCTCTCCATTAGAAACTTGGTGTTCTTTCTGAGACCCTCAGTCTTGGGACCCATATATACACTTTCATTGGTTTTAGGCAATTCCTCCAGGTTCCCTTCCTACCTGCTGCTTTGCACCTCCTAGTTCATTCTTTCCTAGGGTCCTGCTTGGCTTTGCATTTTGACTCTTTCTTCTTGTCTTGCTCATTTGCATATAGTAATCCCATTCCAATGCCTGCTTTGTGACTGACCAGAAAATATTTGATCAATCACTAAATGAACCAGGATTTATATTAGTTTGCTAGGGCTGCCATAACAAAATACCATAGGGTGGGTGGTTAAGACAATAGAAATTTATTTTCTCACAGTTTTGGAGGCTACAAGTCCTAGATCAAGGTGTCTGCAGGTTTGGTTTCTCCTCAGGCCTCTCTCCTTGGCTTACAGGTGGCTACTTTCTCGCTGTGTCTTCACATGGTTATTCCTCTATGCATAAGCGCCCCTGATGTCTCTCTGTGCATCTAAATTTCCTCTCAAAAGGACACCTGTTAGATTGGATTAGGCCCATCTTAACGGCCTCATTTTAACTTACCTCTTTAAAGGCCCTGTCTCCAAATACGGTCACATTCTGAGGAACCAAGGGTTAGGGCTTCAATAGATGAATTTTGTTGGAGGATGATGGAGGGGACACAATTCAGCCCCTAACAGGAGGTTCTAAGTAGTAAGCAACAGAAATGGACTCTTAATGATTTCAGCCGAAAAAAATAAGTATTAAAAGAGCACTAAGAATTCCACAAAAATCACAGGGAAGACTTAGAAACAGTCAGGTGCAAGAGCGGTGAGGCAGTAACCTCTCTTGCAAGAGAGTAACTAGCCCACACCTCAAATCATTCCACCAAACAGTCTGGTGAGGACATTGCTGCCATGACCAGTGACATTACCCTCCCTGGATCCTACATGCTGCACTGTCCCTTGTAAACTTGGCATGCCTTCTGCTGCTCCCACTCTGCCACCAGAATAGATTCTCTGTGGCCCCTGCTCATCTGAGTCAACAGCGCTATGGAGGAGAGAATGGTCCATGATGTGACCACTGCTAGACCCAGTTAGATCTGGGCCAGAACAGATTGCTTCTCCTAACTTAGCTTTTCAGGGACTGTCTGATGGACCCCCTCCCCTATGCCCCAGGAATACTGGTTCCTGGAATAGGCCCTTGCCTTCCCCAGGCAAGCATTTCCCCCTTATCTGGGGCAGGTCTCACTCTAGTACCCCTATATATCCTGCCCTGTTCTATATAATTCTTTAGTGCCTGCCATGCAGCATAGAGGATATCCATGTCATCTTGCTGCCTTACAAGATGCACCTCAAATATAAGTTTTCTTAATAAACTCTCCCCTCTCCCACCCTTAATAAGCTCTTGATGTAAAGCTGGGGTCCTCAGCCTCTTTCTTCGGTCTTGTGGCCCCAGGAAATTTTCCTAACAAGCTCCTGATTCAAAGTTTGAGGTGAGTGTATCTGATTGGAGGACACATGCTCATGCTTACCTGCAAGGGAGGCTGGGGAAACAGCATCATGTGTTTTCTGCTTTTATATTAGGCTCTACCTTACACCAAAACTCAAGGAGTCTCCTAATGTAAGGAGAAGGTTCAGATGTGGGGCACTCAGAGTGACAAGTGTTCACAACACTCAACAAATATTTATTGAACTTTTAATATCATGCCTTGGGAATGCAAAGGTGACCAGCATCTGTCTTCAAGAGTTCCAAGTCTGGTGTGGTGGGTGACAGATGAGTAAATGGACAATTTGAAAACACTGTGCTAGAGAAAAGCAGAGGGGTCTATGGGTCTCCATAGAAGAGGAACTATTGTCAGGAGAGATCAGGGAAGATATTCTAGGAAAGATGACATCTGAGACCTGAAGGACAAAGGGTGTTAGCTAGCTAAGAATTACCCCCTCTATATAATTCTATCCCAGGTACCTGTTTTCTAAACCTCACATATGAGGCACTTTGCTTGGCACTTGCAATTTAATCTGGAATTGTAGACACCTTTGGCCAGGTACCCCAGCCTCCTGATCTGAGGACAGAAACTAAACACAACTTTTCACAATACAGAAACATATCCTCATACACACTGAGTATGTTCAGTCCTTTATTAATATTCCCAATCTCTTTTAGAAGTTTCTAGAATTGTCCAGCTCTGTGCTAGGCAGAGGTAGAAGATGAAAGAGAGTAGTCATGGTATATGCCCTTAAGGAATTTATAATCTGGCTGTGGAGAAAAAAAGGCCTTCAGTGGGGCTAAGGATGTGGTCCTGGGCAAAGTCCACTAGCCACCTGGACTCATTCCTACGGACTGGCATTACAATGGTCCAGCATCCTGACAGGCTCAGAACGCTTATTTTGTGGCACATGAAGAGTGGATGCATCTCTCAGATTACAGATGAATCCTCAGACTCACATTAACAAAGCTCACTGTGACTAATGCATAAACCAGTTCATTTATTAATTTTCAAAAAGAAAGTATGACTTATAAAGCCAAATTTAATTTGAGAAGCAGACTAGAACATTCACATCAGAAGATCAATGCATTTTCTCTCTCCCTCTGAGTATGTCACATGGGAAGCAAAGTATCAGAGTGTAGCATGGTAGGCTTGGAATCAGAGCAAGGGGTATGAGTCAGTCTCAAAAGAGTTCTCTCCATCAGTCAGTTTAGATATTCTACTCAACCATAATTGCATATTAAATCATCGAGGGAGACTTCTTAAGTACTAATGCCTGGGTCTACGGTCTGAGATGTTGATCCAGTTGGTCTGTGGTAAAGCTGAAATAGGAATCTTATTTTAAAAGGGGGCTGAGGCACCCTGGCTGGTTTGGCTCAGTGGTTAGAGCATTGGCCCATGGACCAGTGAGTCGTGGGTTCGATTTTGGTCAAGGGCACACACCTCTGTTGTGGTTCGACCCCGGCCCTGGTTGGGTCATGTGGGAGGCAACCAGTCAATGTGTCTCTCTCATGTTGATGTTTCTCTCTCTCTCTCTCTCTGTCTCCTCCCTCTCACAAAATATCCTCAGGTGAGAATAGAAAAATAAAGAATAAATAAATACATACATAAATAAAAGGGCTGAGGCAAGTCTAACATGGAGCAAAGGGCTGCTTTCTAGGTGTTGTCAAGAAAACCATGATCTTTGCATTGCTTAGCTAAGACTTCTCACCCTAAGACAGTGCCCAGAGAGAAACCCATGACTTTCCCTTTTCAAGGTTCCATGATTGACCATCCTCTCCTGTTCTCTAAACAGGATATATTTTAATTGACATGGTTCACTTATTAAATTGCAGTCAGTTTCAAGGCCTGCAGCTTTGAAAATACTGCCAGATCATCTTGGTTAGAGTTTTGCATGTTCCCAAATTTCTCAGACACAGTTTTACAAATGGGCTTTCAGTTTCCTACAGATGGTTAATTTCATTTATGAAGAGTGATTTTATTTCAGGGACAACCTCATTTCCAGTCTTTCTGAGAGTGTCCCACTGTTTATCATTAAACATCTAGAATTAATCCAAGGTTGCAAAAATTAAAAGAGAAATTTTAATTACAATGATTTAACTCTGAACAAATGAACATAGAATCAGAAAGATCTGAGTACACACCTTGATTTTGACCTTTCCAGGGTATGTGACTTTGGGAAAAGGCTTTATTTGTAAACTGGGAATTATTGTTCCTAGCTTTTAGAGTTGTGGTAAGTAATAAAGATACTATATGAAAAATCCTTGGCATAGTGTAGGCACTCAATGAAAGTAACTATTAATATTGGTATTATTGAGGGAATCTGTGTCTCTAAAGTTAGGGAATATTTCTTCAGAACCAAACTCCCTTTCTCTGTAGGTTTTATTATTATTATTATTATTTAACTTTTTTCTTTATTGATTTTAGAGAGAAAAGAAGGGAGAGGGAGAGAGAGATAGAAACATCGATAAGAGAGAACACGGATTGGCTGCCTACTGCATGCCCCACTCTGGGGATCTGGCCCACAACCTGGGCATGTGCCCTGACTGGGAATCGAACTGACAACCTCTTAGTACATGGGTCGATGCTCAACCAGTGAGCCACACCAGCTGTGCTCTCTGTAGGTTTTAGAGGAGTGATTTTATTATGCTTTAAAAATAATGATACATGCTCATAAAAAATTCAAGAAGTACATAAAAAACACAAGTATTAGATCACCCTTAATTCTAACACTCCAAATTGCAAGATCTGCTAATGAATGCTATAATTAGTTAATAAAAGTTTAAAATATAACAAGATATTTGCATAGATTCAAATTATATCTCCCCAGCCCTGGCCGGTTTGGCTCAGCGGTTCGAGCGTCGGCCTGTGGTCCAGAGAGACCCGGGTTCGGTTCCCGCTAAGGGCATGTACCTCGGTTGCAGTTTGTCCCCGGCCCTGGTTGGTTGTGCGGGTGGCGGCCACTCAATGTGTCCCTTTCACGTCAATGTCTCTCTCTCTCTCTCTCTCTCTCTCTCTCACTCTCTCTCCCTCCCACTCTATCTGAATAAAAACCGGGAAAATGTCCTCGGGTGAGGATTAAAAAAAAAAATTTTATCTCCCCAAATATTATTTTTACAAAAGGAAAAATAGTAAGTTTACAATGGAGAAACCTGACAGTCTCTCCTTAATCAAGTGATCAAGGTTAATATCACAAATAAAAAGATGTATCAATATTGTGTACCCACTGACATGGTGCACTGAAAACGCTCATAGCTTTTGGGATATGCTTCCCCAAAAGTTACAGCCTTAATCTAATAATGAGAAAACTTTAACTAAACCCAAATTGAGGAACATTCTACCAAATACCTGAACAGTACTCCTCAAAAATGTCAAGGTCATGACAGAAGAGGAAAAATTAAGGAATTGTCACAGATCGAAGGAAACTAAGGAGATGTGACAACTAAATGTAATGTAGAATCCTAGCTAGGATTCTAGAATAGAAAAAAGAAACATTAGTGGAAAAGCTGATGAAATCTGAATAAAGACTTTAGTTAAATTAATAGTAACACATTCAAGTTAATTTTAGTTTTGATATTTGTACCATGATTGTGCAATATGTTAACATTAAGGAAAATTGGGTATATGGAATGCTCTGTGCTATTTTTGGAACTCTGCTATAAATTTAGAGTTATTTCAAATTAAAGAATTAAAAATGAAAAATACTACTACATATTATTCAGGGGTACAAATATGCATTGAAAGTCTAGGCGCATACATTGGAATGAAAAACACCAAATTCATGACAGTAAATAAATATGTCTGGATACTGAGGGAGAGGAAGAAAGGATTAAATTGTGAAGGAGTGTATATTTGCTCAAATTTTATTGGTAATGTTTTATTTCTTAACTGAGTCATAGGAGTACAAGTATTCATTATATTATTTTCTATAATTTTTTAATATACCTAAAATATTTCATTAAAAATGGAATATATAGTTTAATGCCAAAATGAACATTTGTGATAAAGTTTTACCTTATTCCCTTGCATAGATTTGCCACTGAACAATGGTCAAAACTTGAGTCACCCTCCCCTTACCCCTGCCTTTGACTTAAGGCCAGAAAGGTGAGTTGAGGGCAAATTGTAAAGGACCTTGAATACTTGCACTTTACCCTGAGAATAATGAGAAGCTGTTAAAAGACTTTCAGCAGGGGAGGGATGTGGTCAGATTTGTGTTTTAAGAATATGACCTCTGTCTACAACAGAGAAAGAATTGAACTGGGGTTGAGAATAGAAGCAAAGAGATAAACTGAGAGGCTCTGGCAATAGCCAAAAGGTGAGTATATGAGGTCTAAACCAAGGCAATGGTGGTGGGGATAGTGAGAAGAGAAAGATTAAAAAAAAAACAACTAAGAAGGAAACTGAAGCAATAAGACTTGGAGAGTGATTGGATGTGTGTTTAGTAAGACGGAAGACTCAAGGATGACTCCTCTGAACTTCCTCAGAAATGCTCTATGTGCATTTAAATTATTTGGCATTTAGCTATGGTTATTTGGCATTTTGTGTTTATCCTTTGTCTCCTCAATGGACTTGAAGTTCGTTAAG